ATGTGAATGTGAAAAAAGCACACATTGAAGCAAGGAGAAGAAAGTTGAATGAAGGTGAAGCAGTTGACTGGGCAACAGCAGAAGCCTTGGCTTTTGGCTCTCTTCTCTATCAAGGTTTGCTTAAGCTACAATTAGGGAAACAGCCATGTCTAGTAACATGCTATGCATGCACTGCTTGATTCTTTATGTGAGAAGTCTCTATCTTGTTGTGCAGGTTTTCATGTGCGTCTGTGTGGGCAGGATTGTGGTAGAGGTACTTTCTCTCAACGTCATGCTATGCTTGTCCACCAGGGATCTGGTGATATTCACATTCCCTTGAATCACATGATGGATGGCCAAACAGGATTTTTTGAGGCCAGTTAATATGATCCATCCAGGTTGCCTTTGGTTCATCCATTTTGTGTTGTTGCTCTAAACAACCGATTGTGAATTAGGTGGTGAATAGTCCCCTATCAGAGGAAGCAGTTCTGGGCTTTGAGTATGGATTCAGCATGACACACCCTAATTGCCTTGTGTTGTGGGAGGCTCAGTTTGGAGACTTCTTCAATACTGCTCAAGTCGTGATCGATACTTTCATCTCTTCTGGGGAGAGTGAGACCCTTTCTATGTTAAGTCTAACCTTTGCTGCCGTATGTAGTTGACCAGAATATTTCTCCAGGTAAATGGCTGATGCAGAGTGGGCTAGTGATGCTACTACCTCATGGGCTGGATGGAGCTGGGCCAGAACATAGCTCATGTCGACTGGAAAGGTTCCTTCAGTTGAGTGATTCATATGAGGAAGCTGGTATGGATGGTGATAATGTGAATATGCAAATTGTCCATCCCACCACCCCTGCGCAATATTTTCATCTTCTACGGAGGCAGGTAAAGGGAACAACCAGAAACTGTCACTGTGGACAATATGATCAGGACTTTGTTCAAGTTAGTTGTTTCTTCTAGATGGTGAGGAACTTCCGTAAGCCCCTCATCGTTGCAACCCCCAAGATCTTACTTCGTTTGCCAGCTGCAACCAGCCATCTGGAAGAAATGGGCCCTGGAACTTCATTTCATCTTGTTTTAGGTGAGGATCTACTCCCCCTCCATGCTTCTTGTCATTTTATGTCTTTTTATACCCTCCTCTCTAAGCTTCAGCTTACTTTGGCTTGCAGGGGACAACATCTAGAAGCCTTATTCAGCTGAAAATTTTCATTGAATGAGGGAACACTCCTCTTTTCTTTCTCTTTCCAATGTAAAACAATATGAATTTGATAGTCGAATCACACGTTGTTCAATAGTGCTGTGCTGAAAATACTGATATACCATTTATGATGGGAGACTGTTGCCTGTCATCTCTAGTCTGTTTTTTCATGCATAATATCAGGTATAGTTCTGTAAATGGCAAGTACTTTTGGAATGGCTGGAGTGTAAATTGGGAAGTTGGTTCCAACAACATTAAAGAATGGGACAGGTAGCAGCTTGCTTGCAAGTAGAAGCTAGTCTTCCTTATTTAGAGACAGAAGAGGGAATCGTTGGGATTCACTTGCTTCATGGAAGAATTTTTCAAAAGCTAGATCATTGATAATTTATCATGTCATTTTTCCTCATACAGTTCAGCTTTCTGATGGGGCTGTCATAAGGAGTACAGGGGAGACCTACGTTGATTCATTCCATAGATTTCACCTCTTGCATAGGCCTCAGAACAGTCAACTCTCATTATACTGCCACTTAATATAGTGTCACCCTTGTCTATTGCCAACCTCTTCTTGTGGACGAATTTCCCCACAACTTCATGTTAGAGAGAATATGGTTTATTCTTATAAAGCCAAAATTGGTGATGACCAACAGTGGCACTATTTCAAGGGTTGACTGCACTTAGAAGACTTCAAATACTTATACCCATTCATGTTCGGAACTCAATTCACCCCTCCTTACCTCATGAGGTTTATAATGAATCTTTACCTTCATTTATCCTTCAATTCCTTGAATCTGTTCATTCTTCATCATTTCTCCTTTTTCCTTTTTCAGGATTCAGGATAGTTAGTGATATCAAGAGGCGATTTCGCCCATTTCGATATCATGTGTCGAGGTCGAGCGTTCCTTAAT